ATATATATATATAAACAACAACAAGTAAACAAAACAACAAGAAAAAATATTAAGGTCACCCAATTAATAAAAAAATTAAATAATAAAAACTTAATTAACAAGTATAAGAATTTTAAATTTTTAATAAATAAATTTTTTAACACAAATTCACTTAAAAATACCTAAACTTACGAAGATTTGAAATTTAATTAATCCTTTGGCTCTCTTGGAATAAATTCAATTTTGATGTTTCCTAGGGTTACTTCTCCTTTTCCCACCCGAGGTACCAAAGTAACAAGCACATCATCGTCTTCTTCAGCTTCTAAATTCTCCAGAACTTTCGATAACCCTACTTTAAAGCCGGTGCTGATGTTATGGCCATGTCCATGGTACAGATGCACAAAACTTCCCACAAATTCTGTCTCATCTGGACCACTCAACCGCTCTTCATCATCATCAACATGAACATCAAACTTAACGTATTTATCACTTCCAAACTCAATCCCTTCTATCACTAAAACCTCTTCCTCTTCTTCCTTCTCTTCCCTGCTCCTTAATTTCTTCGGCCTCTTAACAATTACACTTGTTATGGAATCCAAAACCAAAGGAAGTTTTCTGGGCTTCCAACTCAAAACTTGAGCCTTCTTTTTTTGTCTCAGTAGCTTACTTTTTCGTGATGTGGGTGGCGTACGCAACCATGCAAGATCGACATCTTGGTACACGTACCCCAAGTTTTTAGTATCAATGCAATCTCTTACCTTAACACGAACAAAATCAGCATTCTCATCGTAGAAGAAAAACTCAGAATCTAACCAATCTTGATCACTATACTCCCTTCTTCCTTCTCCCAGTGTTTTCCATATCGCCCACATTCGATCCAAGTTCGAGTGATGACCATAGAAAATGGGGTCTCTAGCAGCTGTGTAGAACGTTCCCATGTCCTCATGGTGTGGAGTATCAGCTCCACCAACCCATGTATGAACAGTGTTATGTGGAGCAGCCTCCACAGAACCAATACCAGGACGAGGGTTATCCCCTAGTCGAAAAGGGCTTCCCATGAACAATTCTGTGGTGCTTGCCAGCACCATTTGCTTGTACATGGTGGCTAAATTATACAAAACCTGTTGATGAGAAGGGACGTCGACATTGCCAACTGCATAGTTCAGGTCAACCACGTGGGGTGGCAAGTGTTTCTGGTTTCGGAGTTCGTGAAAAAGTGAGGAGTTCGGGTTTGTGAAACAAGACGGCATGTGCATTGCCTCTATAGAATCCCAATTCCAAAATGGTAAAGCAAATTCAGGGTCACCAATTAAGTTCCCTAAAATTCGTTCGAAGAAGTATATGTACCAACGATGGAAGGGAAAGAAAAACCAAGATCTGTGAATGTCGAGTTTGGTGTCTTGAAAAGGGTGATAAAGGTGATAAGCTCCGTTGCAATAAGCGCAATGAACCTTAGCTTGTTGAATAAAGCTACGTGGGTCATCATCAGGGAGGGCTTTCATGAGTGCAATGCCCTTTTCAAATTTGGCTATGTATTCTTCATCCAGCAAGTGAAATGGTCTTCTGACTCGCAGTGTGGCATTGGGAGAAGCAAAATCTTTGAAATCTATCAACTTGGAGAAAGACGGTTTAGAAGGACAACAATCGGTACCTGTTATTGCATTAGAAGGTAATCCAGCAGGAAAGCACTCGCTTATATTAGGGGATATTGCTCTAGAAATGGAAGACGAGTGATCTATATTTCTGTCTCTTTGGTTGGAAGTTGTAGCGAGGCCATGAGAGGTTTTATAGGTTCTTCTGCAAATGATTTTAATGGCGGTGAAGAGAGAGAAGTGAGTGTTGAGAAGGGATATTGAGAGAATGAGGAAGAGAATAAGGGCAAAGAATAAAGGTAGAAGCTTAGAAGGAGTGTTCATTGCTGGTTTTTGTTAACATTTTCATGCTCTCAAAATTGCTCTCTATTAATAACCATGCGTTAACAAAGAAAACTGTTTAAGATTTTGAATGGTAGCCGTCACTCACACGAAACCAAACTCATGGCCATTGATTAAGATAAGCTTTCAGTGGTAGTCATCAATATTAATACATATTATTATTATGGCCTGCATACGTGTACATCAGGGTGCAACGTAGATCCCTTAAAATTATTACTATTATAAGAAAAAAAATAATTAAAAATATATAGTGAGGTTATTAAAACAATTGAATGATGTAATTAAGCTATGAATAATGCATTAGCAATTTTAAATAAAATATTTAAATTATGAAATAATAGATACCGGAGGAATGCATTGTTTTGAGAAGTATGCAATTGGCAATTGATATGCTAGAAAACACGTTGGAGTGGTCCAATTTTACACTTATAATTAGGACCGCGATATTCCAACAACGCATATTTAACATTGTTTTGACAACGTCACGTGTCTTTGTTTGATTGGTTTGTTTTAAAAATAAAATTTTTTTAAAACCTACGAAACGGAAGTCNATATCCAATAGCAAGAAATACCTTCATTGTTCTTGTCATCTTCATTTGTGATGAATGTTTTTGAATCACCAATAGATGAAAACTTTGTTTGATTAAAATGGTTAGGCAATGTTGAAAATTCCATTCATTTATGTTACCATTCAAATAGGTCAATGCAACAATGCATAGAAGGTTGAAAAGAAGAATAAACCCCATTCAAATTCCTAACCCCCAAATTGAATGACCAACAACCCCAAACCTGCATCAACACTCGCGAAGTCCCCAAACCTGCACCAACAGCGACTAAGTCATTGAAGAATGAAACTCCCTTGCGCCGCGGAGACGCTTTGTCGTGACCACGGTGCCTCCAAATCGCTTCCCCTCCATGCGTGAACGAACCAGGAACAAGGAAGGAAAGGACGCCTCCTTGCTCGACGACGAGCCTCCACCCGAAATGTCGTTGTCGCCTCCTCGTGCCACCAGCATTCGTGGATTCAAACCAGGATGAAGGAGAAGAAGAAGAAAACCCATAAGCGAGAAAGGCCTCATCCTCACAATAGCCTGCAAAAAAGGCAAGAAGCGAGAAAAGGAAGTCAGATAAAAAAGAGTAATAGGTGAAAGCAACCTTGACGCTGGAATCGGAGGATGCGGGGAGGGAATTGTCGGTTAGGGCATCGGCAGCCACGGCGAGCTTTCGCTTGAGAGGGTTGGAAGCGGGGGGTCTCGGAGGCAAGGGACTCTTGAACTTAGCAGGGGAAGGAACGACGAGATTGGGATCGGAGCGAGGGTCATTCTCTTTGGAGTGTTTGTGCTTGCGAGAGGGGCGGGTTTTGGCAGAGTTAGGAGAGGCGGCTGTTGTGGTCGAAGTAGCGAGTGGAAGAAGCGTGAAGTGCTTCATTTTGGGGCAGAGAGGAGAACAAAATGGGGAAAGAAGCGTGTGGAAGAAGAGTTCATTTTGGGGCAGAGAACGAAATGGAGGAAGTGCACAACCCTTAGCTCGAGAGAAGTGGAGGCACCATCGACTCCTTGGAGAAATCACCGGAGGCAGCGACGGCGATATCAGGGAGCACTAGCGGAGATGAAGAAAGTGCGAGAGAGAAAAGAAGAAACGAGGGCAAGGAAGATAAATAGTGAAATTTGAATTTGAACCTACAAAAGAGCTACCGCTTCGGTTATACGGAAAAACAGGTGCCTATACCGTACGACATCATGTGGGCGCCAAACCGAGGCAATATAGTTGGATTTTGGCAGAGGGTATATGCCTCAGGTCTGTGGAAAACCGAAGCAAGAAAGTATATGCCTCGGATAAGGTGAACCGAAGCAGAAAAAGCATTCTATAAAGTTGTCAGAAGGAAGTTTGATTGTTGATGGATGTGACAGTAGACTTTATAGACATCGATTGCTCCATTTAACTGAAGCAATATAGCTAATATGCATCGGTTGGTATTTAACCGAGGCGTATAAGGTTTCTATATTTACAGTAATGCCACCGTGTACTTATACGCTTTGGTTTCGCAGTAATAGAAGCATATATGGCGCGTCAGTAAACGCTTTTTTTACTAATGAACGACTCCATCAAGAAAATATTAACCATTTAACATTTATTTATAAAAAAATTGTTATTATTATGGTCATAGCGATTAAGATAAACAATAATAATATTAATACATATTATTATTATTATGGTCGTATATTATAAGGGTTCAATCCCTTACAATTATTACTAAATATCTGAAAAACAATTATTATAATAGACATATGTGTAATTAAAAATGTATAAATACACGACTTAATCTGTATTATTGAAATGTTTTCCTTTAGAAAATTCCAACCTCATTTTCCATAACGTAAATCATGGGTGAAGTCCAATTTTACACTTATAATTAACTTCTATTTAAAGAACAAGTTGTAATCCATAAATACCACACTTTTCCTTTTGAGCTCTGAATATATTTTCCACCACAAAAGCTGAGTATCACGAATTAATTGTACAACACATAATTCATGTATTGGCCACACAAATCAAACTCTATTAGGTGATCAGTCCAAAATAAATGGGCCATTCCTAGGACAAAGACACAAGGGTTGGTACCCAATTTACAAGGTAGAAAATTGTGCCACATCCTTAAAAAAAACTTGGAAATGGAAGAAGATGATAATGTGTCATTGAAAGTTGATCATTCAAATTCTGGGGCCACATTACACTAATTGCTGTTTAGGAAAACTTAAACTCTTTGGTTAGAAGGAACGAGTTCATCAAAAATTCAAAATATTTTGTTATATGAAAACTTAGTCAAACACAACTTGTTATTAACATTGAATATCAGTTTATAAAAATAATATTAAACTAAATTCTTCATACATATTCTTCTTAGAAAAGATTCCATTGGATAGGGTTGTTCATAGTTTCATTAGAAAAAAAAACTAAACCAAATTAATCTTAACCGTGTTAAGAAGTGAATTAAGTCTAACTCTACTTACAAAACGGTTTTAAATTTGTAAGATAAGGTTTACATTCATTTATATATTATAAATTAATTTTATTTTTAATTGATGTAAGACTTCCAACAAACTGTAAAAATAGTTTCATATCATTTATACTAGATAATTTTAACTTCAGCTAAATTAGTTTGAAATAATCATTGACACACTTTCTTAATATTTTTAAGAAACAAATTTTACAACTTGTACTTTATTTTACACATAAAAAAATCATCTATAAGAATAGATGAGATGGTTTCAAGAATGCTCACAGTAGTGCACTAAATTATTCTATATTAATAGTTTAGTTTTATTGTTTTTAAATTGAGTTAAATAATATTTTCTCTAAACTAGTAATTTGATTCGATTCATTACGGAATTGATCATTTAATTCTAATGAGGCTTATTTATTAATAAATTCAAAAACTTTGAATTCGATTTGATCTATCATGATGGGTTAAATGAGTTTTTTTTATTCAATTCCAAAACAATTACAAACTTTTTTAATTAACATTTAAATAAAGTTTAATCTAAATACAATTTAAAATTATGTTAAATTCCAAATACAGTTTAAAATTACAAAAATGCATTACAATCCAAATACATTTAAAGATAAAAAAATATTTAAGATTTTTGTTATTTTAATATAATTTAATATTTAGAATTTATGAATGTGTTTATGAGTCAATCCAACCCACTAATAGATCAATCTTAAATTTTAGTAGACTAGGTTCTTTTTCGACTGTTCTAAAATTTGTAATTTTTTTACCTATCAAAGTTTGAACTTGTGATGAATTGAGTTGACTCGCGAATTTTAATCTATTTTGACAATTCCATTAAAAATAAATTTTTGTTTAGTTTTTCTTTTAAATAGTTCCATTTTCATTATTTAGTTCAATATAGTTAATTGTTTGTTGATTAATTAGTAGTTCAACAACTCTAATTTATTGAACGTACGACGAGGTAGTCCCAATACCATAAAAATGGATCCTACTTAAAAGTTTTTTGTATGACGTTCACAGCCTCCTTGTCACATATTCTGGTAAATGAATAATTATCTTCCTCCATCAATTAAATACTACTAACTCTATGTCTGCATGGATGCAACATCTTCTTCTATCATTTTTAGATCGTTTAAATAAATCAGAATTTTAAAAGTAATAAATATTTTAGTTATGTTTTTCTTATAATAAATACCAATTTTAATTATATGAAACTTACGTCTATTTTTGTTTTTTTTTCTTTTAAAATTCTTTTTCACTTTTTCATTCATCTTATTAGGAATTGAATTTTTTTAGTAGTGTTTAAATTGAGATTAAATATTTTATATTCTAGAAATATTAAGTTTGACGAAAATATGTGCTTGCTTAAATTGAGAAATTTTCTCAATAATTAAAAAAATTTGTAATATTAATATTTATTGAAGTGTAAAATAAACAAATTATATGTGCACAAATAGAGATATAAAGGAGTTACGGGGGGGTCGATTTGTTAAGTTATCATGAGTTAATTTTTTCAACTAATTAACTGATTTTGATCAATTTTGCTTAACTTGTCAAATTAACATATCAAAATCAAAACGAGCTAATATGCTACTTTATTTTTTAAAAAATAAATTAAAAAGAAAAATAAAAAAATTTAAAAAAATCAATTTTTTTATATTATTTATAAATTTAAATATATACTAATATTATAATTTAAATTTTAATGTTTACAAATTAAGTTATTTTTAATTTTTACAAATTAAGTTATAATAAATAATTTAACATAATATTTATTTTAATTAATTTGATAATATTAACTAATCAATTAAATATTATAAAAAATATTAATATTGTAACATCATAGTGTTTAATTACTATAGAATATATTACAATTTTAATAAAAAAAACAATTGGATTGAAGAAAAACATATAAGTTATTATTACAATTATCCCAAAAGTAACATATAATAGCAAAATATACTTATATATATATATATATATATATATATATATATATATATATTAA